CTCCACTCAACGCTCAGCTGAATTTCTTTCAGATATAAATCGTGATCAATACTAATCTGAAATATTATACCAGCAGTTGGTCTATCCCCTGAAATGGTTACTCAAATTATATTAGAAAGGATTATTAAGGTGTAGTGGCAATATCAATTGTCAGGTAACATAATCCGAGGATATTTCAATCACGCCCAGAGAGTTTCTTTGCGAATGGTATAGAAGCTGAACGAAAGAATGATAACATCAGGTAAAATCAGTGTTTTCGAAGTGTCTCGTTTTCGCCTTCAGGTCTTACTATGGCCTAGGGATTTTTTCGCAAACAAACGACTATTAAGACTGCATAGTCGATTCATCCTTAAGAAACGAGTGAAGAAAAGGACAAAGTGGGTTCAGTTTTCAGGAAAGTAGACGCCTCTACTCACAGGACAGCTTTGTGTCAAATAACATCCTCAAACTGTGGAGAATTGCCTCTGCACAGCGCAACACTTCCCGGGGTCCACATTATATTTACTCTCCCAAAAAGTCCTTTTTAATGAGTGATTGATCAAAGGCAAGTTAGCCTTTTGTTACACATGAAATCTAAGCATAGTTCTGGTGAAATCGGCCCAGTTGAAATAGATTTTCTCTTCCCCGCTTCCCAGTGCATTCAGAAATATATTGACGTTTTTTGAAATTGCAGAAAAAACAAGTATTTACAGTCCCATCTTTCACTGTATCTTACCTCAACCATGTCAGTACCCAATCCATGTTTAAACGCATACATTTCTAGTTGTGGCCGGGTGATATAACCCTGTCTCGTCGTGTCCACGTCCTCAAATTGTTTGATCACGTCCTCGCCCTCCATCGCGTTGGGTTGGGAGAGCAGCGGAAAAGGACCTTGCCCAGCCGCCAGAGAAGATGGCAGTTACATACTGATGAGGTGTTCACTTCTGTTCCGATGTGCATACTGTTGCCATGGTCACTAAGCGTACGCTGAAAAGTTCATTTAGAGCACTAAGATATTCGCACGAGCCCGTATTCAAATTCGGAGGAATTTATGTCTGCAGGCGAATGTTCGAGTCTTGGGTGGGTGCATAAGTAAGAAAAAAGAAAACTGCCCAGGCACAAGAATCATTTGTTTGTTTTTCCGATCTCTCGAAATCGTGAAGGGGTCAATCGTTAGGGATGACATCAACAAGAGAACAAATATTAGTTCAATGGGGTCATTGACCAATCAACGGCGAGTGCCACAGATCTGGAGATGACTGTGCAGTACGCTGTCTGAGAGCGCCAGTCCAATACATCGACTGACTGATTCCTCATCAGAGACCCAGACTTCTACCGACTTTCAGCTTGCTCTGCATCCGGCATGGCAGCTGCGAGGTTCAACTCGCGACCGTTCGGAAGGTAAAGTCGGGCACTTGTGATTATTCCTTTCGTCGCCTCTCAGCCAGCTTGCGTTCGTGTATGAGCGTTCCGAGCCTGCGTTTAGGCTTACCTGTCTAGTCACAAGGCTAGTTTATGCGCGCGATGCGATTAATTGCCTGTTTGTACCAAACCAAACAGCATTTCCAGATTCTGCCTATCTAAACGGTCGTGATCTTCATTATAAACTCATTTCGATTGCAAATACACCGCTCGTTGGCGAATTAGAGATGTCTCGTACACTCCCGCTCTCAAGGTCGTCAACGCAGCCTCTTACCCATGCCGCTTCCAGTCCGCCTGACAGACGCGACTCAACCACCGGCCTGCAACACCGTCAAGCCAGCAGACATTTATCTCTTCGATGATCGGCCGCAACCGGATGAAGTTCGATTTAAACATGTCCGGAGAGAACGCTGCCTGTAACTTCTTGCGGTGCTACGCCTACATTCGCGACCTCAGTAAATATTGTACATCTAACTGTCTTCCTTGACTTCTGGTTTAAGAATCTTCACGTTGTCGACCACCGTACTTCGACACTTTCGTAACGCCAGCGAGATAACGGTAACTTGCAAAAAGACCGCGACTTATAATTTTCTGGAGAAAGTATATCTGTCCGCTTCAAACCATTAACTGACTAGGTTTTAAAGGCAAGCTGGATGTTCTGACAAATTGGCCGGAAGAAGTACAGCCGGAGGTATCTGAAAGGAGACTAGGTTAGCTGATGGCTCAGGAGTACTTTATAAATTTAATTTCGTTATGAGCGTCCTTCTCTGTTACTAGAGCAATTTTCTCCCTTTATCTCGAGACCCTCTTTTAGCCCTCCTAGCGAGGATTGGATATGTAAACCCACTGGGAAAATAGAGTACGTTAATATTTGTTTGATCAGTGGGGCAAATGGACGCGTCCATTAACGGAATCAGCTCAACGGAAAAGCTCATGTTGCTGCAGCGTCTGCTTTATTATTTCCAGGTGCCGTAAAGGCCTCACATTTTGGGAGATGCAAATCAGGGCGTGTAAACGGTCAAAAAGCAGATAGTCGAAGGGTATTGGTTAAAGAATGCTGGATTGGTTAAGAAGGCGTGCGGCAGACAAAGCCAACCGCAATCCTAACGGTTTCGCCATATTTAGTCTTCTACCTAACCCTAACCCCAGCTCTAACGCCAAATTTAATCATTTTCTTGAGCTTCGCCAGAAACGCAACCCTTATATATCCTGCCTATAAAAATTTAACAGTTAGGCATGTTCTAGTGGCAGCGGTATAGAGAAGGACCCCACCTAACTGTCAGTAGGCTGTGGATCGTGTCATATGGGGTTTTATCCTGGTATACATTTGCAAGCTACTGCAGCAACCACGCTACCAACAACAATTACTTTCCACGACCCTGCACCTTTACTCAAAATCCGTTATTTTGTGAAATTCGCTTTTTGTTTATTGTTTAAGTACTACTCTCATTTCCGTTGTCGTACAGTAGCGGAAGATAAGACTGTCGGCATATAGTTAGGCAATTTTTGTGTTTCCTTTCAGGTTGTCAGCTTACTGTATAGCGTGCTGCCCCACCCATAATACTCCATTTACAATAAATCCCTTATGGCACTACCCAAAATCTACTGACAATTATTTGGGGTCCTTCTCTATACCGTTACCGTTCTTGTAATAAAAAAACGAACCCACATATCCCGCCGCCACTGCCCCCTCCTATCGTTCCTAGTATCGCACTTTCTCCACAACCAATATGCGCACTACGGACAGTAAACTTGGAACTCCCTGGAATTCTCACAGTCCCCTCGACAAATTTCTGTCCATTAACCAAATTTATACGCCTGGTTCACTAGAGGGCCACTGCACCGTCCAAACACAGATTTAAAAGTGGCGGCCTCAACCGTATAAAGCATGCATTCAGTCAGGTCCAAGTACCCACTATAAACCTAGCAGTCACTTAGCCTACTTGATTGTGTACGCGCAACCGCGTGCAGGCAATACTGGCCGAAGGCAACGAAGAATGGATTTTGTAGTTTTCGATCGGGGTGCGACCAGAGTCCTGGGGAGATTGTTAAAATGTCGAATTTAGGACACTTGAAATTCAGTCACAAAAGGTAGAACAACACTTTTGCAAACAATGAATTACTTAAGAGTGACAGACCGAGCATTTAATCCGCCTACGTTGGTGCTCATGAAGTTGCTCGTGAGGTTCATACAAAGCCAGAAACTGCTGTATCTCCCACAGGTCTCCTATACTAGCCGAGGGCACAAAGCAAACGCTCGTGTGCCCACGCGCGAGAGTGTATGTGTGGTATTTAGTCAGGGGTGTAGGGGTGTCAGCGGTGGGTCCACGTGATGGTCGTAGTGGTCGCTCACTTGCTTGCAGGTGAGACTACGCCTAGCGTCCATTTGCTGGCACCCAACTCTCACCTGTGGCTCCACGTAGCTGGGCTCTGCTCAGCGGCCACACCCCGGGCAACCGTCTCGACCGGCGGGCTAAACCAGGTGAGGGTATCTGTGCGTGCACCTGCAGGCGCGGTACTGTGGTCTGCGCTGGCCGGATGGATCTTCGCGTCGACATCGAGACGAGGCTCTGCCTGGACCATCACAGGAGGCCACCAGGTAAGTTCCCCCTCAGGTAAGTGCACTTGCTCTGTTTCTTCCTTTTGTCTGTTGAAGTTCCGTGTCGTATGCTGCTCTTGCTGCCTGCCCTCTGTATGCTAGTCTGTCTGTTAATAGCTAAACGACACCCTCGATGCCTGCTGCGATTGTCTGTCCGTCAGTCTATGCCACTCTCTACTAATAGCTAGGTTTTACGGTGCTTGACTTTGTGTGGTGCCCTCACGTTGTCTCTGACTGATGACTGTGTCCGCCTGTCCACTCTAGTTCTATGTCCCATAGCGTTGGATAGTGTGTGTGCTCTCTCCTACTTCACACCATCACATCACCTCACCACCAAGGTCCCAGGCTAACTCGGGTCGTTCTCTCACTAACAAAAAGTCGTGGCCCATAGTGGAGTCCGGCAGCCGTCTGGGATAACCGGGCAGCCCTGTTCAGGGATGCGTTGCCTGCCCCGCGAGGGGGAGGGGGCTAGAAAAGGTGCCCTAAAGATCGCTGGGAACCACGCTGTCTGTAGGCTGGTCGTGGCCGCAGACAAAAAACACACGGTCGAAACAGCCAAAACCGAAACAACAACAACAACAACAACAACAACAACAACAACAACAACAACAACAATCACTCTCTTCCTCTTCCAGTCTATTCTTCTTCTTCTCCTACTCCTACTTTTCTCCGCCGCAGTCGCCAGACTGGCAGGGTGAGCCCGCTCACTCTGGCAGCCTGGAATGTTCGTTCCCTTTTAGACAATCCGAGGAGCAACCGACCGGAACGGAGGACAGCGCTAGTGGCACGAGAACTGGCGCGCTACAAGGTGGACATCGCCGCACTCAGCGAGACCCGATTCTCCGAACAAGGCCAACTGGAGGAGGTGGGTGCCGGCTACACCTTCTTCTGGAGTGGTCGACCCAGGACAGAGTGACGAGACGCGGGTGTCGCCTTTGCCATCCGGACCAACATCGTGGGACGACTGCCCTGTCTACCGCAGGGAATCAACGATCGCCTGATGAGCCTCCGCCTGCCTCTCCGGCGAGGAGGCAAATTCGCCACAATCATCAGCGCCTGCGCTCCGCCGATGAGCAGCCCTGACGCCGCCACAAGAGACAAATTCTACGAGGACCTGCACGCCCTCTTGGCGACTGTGTCGAAGGCGGACAAGTTGATTGTCCTTGGTGACTTCAGCGCCCGCGTCGGCACAGACCATACTGCCTGGAGAGGAGTTCTGGGTCCCCACGGTCTCCGCGGCTCCAACGACAACGGCCTGCTTCTCCTCCGCACCTGCGCAGAACACCGCCTCATCCTGACGAACACGCTCTTCTGTCTGCCGGAGCGAGAGAAGGCCATCTGGAGGCATCCTCGGTCGCGTCAGTGGCACCTGCTGGACTATGTCCTCGTCCGGAGGCGAGATCAGCTGGACGTGCTGGTGACGAAGGCGATCGCGGGTGCTGACGGTTGGACGGACCATCGCCTCGTCATCTCGAAGATGCGTATTCGCCTACAGCCTCGCAGGAGACCACAAGGTAAGCGACCCCCAGGTAAGCTGAATGTTGCTTTGTTGTCTTTGCCTGCTCACAGTCTCCATTTCAGCAATGAGCTAGCACAACGGCTAGACAACCTTCCAATCGCTGCCGCCGACGACGCCCCCGATGCAAAGAACGCCTCCGTGGAGAACCGCTGGTGTCAACTGCGAGACACGGTCCAGTCGACGGCGCTCGCCGTCCTCGGTCGCGCTCCCCGCCAACACCGGGACTGATTCGACGACAACGACGCCGCCATCAGAAATCTGCTTGCAGAGAAGAACGGCCTACACAAAGCCTACGTAGATCACCCCACTGAGGACAACAAAGCTGCCTTCTACCGCAGTCGCCGACAGCTTCAACAACGACTGCGCGAGATGCAGGACGCCTGGACTTCTCGCAAAGCTGAGGAGATCCAAAGCTACGCGGACCGGAACGAATGGAAAAACTTCTTCTCCGCGATCAAAGCTGTCTACGGTCCGTCAACGAAGGGCACTGCTCCTCTCCTCAGCGCCGACGGCAGCACTCTCCTGACTGAGAAGACGCAAATCCTACAGCGATGGGCCGAGCATTTCCAGGGCGTCCTCAACCGCCCTTCCGTCATCTCCGACGCCGCCATCGCCCGCTTGCCGCAAGTGGAGACCAACGTGGACCTCGACCTCCCGCCATCTCTCCAGGAGACCATCAGGGCCGTGCAGCAACTCTCCAGCGGGAAAGCACCCGGATCGGACGCAATCCCTGCTGAGGTCTACAAGCACGGAGGTCCCCTACTGATAGATTACCTGACTGCGCTCTTCCAGGAGGTGTGGCGTCAAGGTGAAGTCCCGCAAGATTTCAAGGACGCAACTATCGTGCACCTATACAAGCGAAAAGGGAATCGCCAGGTCTGCGACAACCACCGCGGCATCTCCCTACTGAACATCGCCGGGAAGATCTTCGCTCGCATCCTGCTCAACCGCCTCAACAACCATCTGGAACAGGGCCTTCTGCCGGAAAGCCAATGCGGCTTCCGTCGTCATCGTGGGACCACGGATATGATCTTCGCCGCCCGCCAACTTCAGGAGAAGTGCCAGGAGATGCGGACCCACCTGTACTCTACCTTCGTGGACCTGACGAAAGCCTTCGACACGGTGAATCGTGAAGGACTGTGGAAGATCATGCAGAAATTCGGCTGTCCGGAGCGATTCACTCAGATGGTGCGTCAGCTGCACGACGGTATGATGGCGCGAGTCACGGACAACGGAGCTGTCTCAGAGGCATTTGCAGTGACCAACGGAGTGAAGCAGGGCTGTGTGCAGGCGCCTACCCTCTTCAGTCTTATGTTCTCTGCCATGCTGATGGACGCCTACCGCGACGAAAGCCCCGGGATCCGCATCGCCTACAGAACGGACGGTCATCTCCTGAGTCACCGGCGCATGAACTTCCAATCGCGCGTATCCACAGCCACCGTGCACGAACTCCTCTTCGCCGACGACTGCGCCCTGAACACCACCTCCGAAGCGGAGATGCAACGCAGCATGGACCTGTTTTCCGCCGCCTGCGAGAACTTCGGTCTGATCATTAACACGCAGAAGACGGTGGTGATGCACCAACCTCCGCCCAACTCAGCCACAGCCCCCATCGCGCCGCACATCAGCGTGAATGGGACCCAACTGCAAGTGGTAGAGAACTTCCCGTACCTGGGAAGTACCCTATCTCGCAACACAAATATCGATGACGAAGTCGCCAACAGAATCTCGAAAGCCAGTCAAGCCTTTGGACGCCTCCGAAGCACAGTCTGGAATCCTCATGGTCTCCAACTGAGCACGAATCTGAAGATGTACAAGGCCGTCATCCTGCCGACGCTACTGTTTGGAGCGGAGACCTGGACGGTGTACACGAGGCAGGCACGTCGACTGAACCACTTCCACCTCAGTTGTCTTCGTCGCATCCTAAGGCTGAACTGGCAGGAACGAATCCCCGACACAGAAGGACTGGAACGAACGGGAATGCTCAGCATCGACGCCATGCTGAGACAAATTCAGCTGCGCTGGAGCGGCCACCTGGCGCGCATGGACGACGAGCGACTACCCAAACGACTCTTCTACGGAGACGTCGCGACGGGTTCTCGTCGTCAAGGAGGCCAAATTCGCCGTTACAAGGATACTCTGAAGTCCTCCCTGAAGCGCCTGCACATCAACCCGACCAACTGGGAAGAGCTCGCTCGCGATCGTCCGACATGGAGGAGAACAGTGAAGACGGGCGCTGCTATCTATGAAGCCAACCGCATCGCCGCCGCCAAAGCGAAACGCGAAGCCCGCAAATCACAACTTCGCCCAGTCCGCAACGCCGCCGCACAACCGCTCCCAACGTGTCCTCGATGTCAACGGACATTCCGGGCACGAATTGGACTTGTTGGACATCTCCGAACCAACTGTGCCTCTCGAACTGCTCCAGCCATCGTCCCCCCGCCCGCCTCTTCCTCGTCCTCTCTTCCACCAAATAACTCTGATAACTCTTCTGAACCACCACTTCCATCCTCTTCCTCGTCGTCGTCCTCCTCCTCCTCCTCCTCCCCCTCTACTGCCCCAGCGGCGGCCGTTCAGACTGCCGTCTCACACATCGCCAACCACGACACAACAACCGCAACCACCCCCACCCCTCCCGATTCCAGTGATGAGGATCAGGACTACACCTGCCCTCACTGCGACCGCACCTTCACCTCACACAACGGCCTGGTCGGTCACTTGCGAATCCATCGCACAGAGACTGGTGAACCAGTGCCTGGAGCACCAACCTACACCCACCGCACTCGCCTCCACTGCCCACACTGCCCTCGCACCTTCGCTCATCGCATGGGTCTATTCGGCCACATGCGCATCCACGAGAGCGGAATTGACCGCAGCCTTGACACACCCACCCGCCGAGCCCCACTCCCGATGCACCACCTTGTGCACCCACTAACCACTCCCCAGCCGACATCGACGCCACCGACCTTACCACCCCTCACTCCTCCCCTTCCTCCTCCTCTTCCTCCTTCACTGCCACAACGACGGCCACTCCGGCGTCTGTAGCGCATGACTTCACCACAGCCGCACCTGACACAACAACAGGCACAACCCCTGCAACCTCCATCATCAGACGTGAGGGCCAGGAATACATCTGCCCTCACTGCGATCGCACCTTCACTTCACGAATCGGCCTGGTCGATCACTTGCGAATCCATCGCACAGAGACTGGCGAACCAGTGCCTGGAGCACCAACCTACACTCACCGCACTCGCCTCCACTGACCACACTGCACTCGCACCTTCACGCATCGCATGGGTCTATTC